TTTATAGTCAGTGTCACTAACTTTATGTGAAATACTTCCCCTTTTATCTGTTCTTGTACTCTTTTGTTTTAAGGCTTCCAGATGTGGAAAGCAAGTGCTGCGGGTGACCCTGGAGAATGTGAAAAGAGTGTTAAGAAATAACACATGCTTTCAGAGGAAACTTGTAAGTTCCCCTTCTGTCTTGTCTGCTCTTGTGATGTGAGCAGTTCCAGGCTCTATTTAGTGGGAAATGTTTTTTGATAGAACCAGAAATCTTCTTACACTATAGTCTCAAGTGGAAAAGCTCATAATTTTTTTTTTTTCATAACTGCTCTGTGAATAATGGGCCTGGGACTAATTATGGTAGAACCTTACTAATTGGAACTCTAATTATGTATTTGTTCATGCACAGCAATCAAAGATACTAAAACTTTCTGCCACTGCTTTAACAAAAATACCTGGAGTTAGTACTTCTGTTGGCCAGAAGCTTCAGGGGCTGCAGAACGTCACGGAGAAAACTTACCGTCAAGAGAGAGAGCGTTTGAGAAGAATGAACCTTGACAGAAAGCTGCTCATGGCAGTGACACCTTGGGTGGGCAATGTACTGCTGCCTTGCACCTTGCAAACCGGGAAGATGGCTTTTCGTCAGACAAAAGGTAGTGGTGACCCCTCAGGGATAGTACTCCCCTAGTTTTTGTCCCTACTTGATACCTTGTAAGTGAATGCCCAGCTGATTTTGATGGACTTTTTTTCTAGCTGATGCTATTCAAGAGAAGATCAAATCGATCAGTCTCGTGAGCACTCCTCTGTTCACACTTTTCATTCAGGTAGGTTTTACTGTCTTAGTAATATTAACTGTTTTCAAACAATGGTAATCTTTGTTTCTGTATTTGATGCTCAAAGAAATAGTTTATTTTTGTTCCTTAAACTAATCCTCTAATTACTGGATTGATCTGACCTCATGGCTCGCATATGATGTTTCTTAAATAAATTCTGCATTCAGAATCTTATTCTCTGATTTTTTTTCTGTAAATGTAAAAATGTCCCCAGAATCTTGCGTGTGAAACCTCTCCCATCCATCTTGTATTGTTGCTGGCTGTACTAGAATATTTTTGTTCTTGATGAAATTTTAATGAAATTCTCATCTTGCAGCTCTTTCAGATTGATACCCACGGCTGCATGAAGATTATTCGTGAGAGAAGGCTAAGGCAGTCAGAGCTTCTTAGGGCTAATGCAAGAAAGCCTCAGCAGGTATTGCACGTGGTCTGTTTCTAAGCTTTTCCTACTGAAGTCTTGACAAGAGTAGAGATTTTTCATTGTGTGTGGCCGGTGGTGCTGTTTGTGTGAGTGTGTTACTGATTTGGTTTGGTTCAGAAGCATAATAAAATGTACAGGATGCTGGCAGATGTGGGTTTGATTCACATCTATGCTGTTTTAATGATCTTTGGCTATCTCAGAAGTATAATTTAATATAATTTTTTTGGCAGGCTTCCCAAAATGTGGAGACTTCTTCAGGTACTTACCAGAACATTTATTTTTATGATGTGCAAGAACTTTCACTTAATTCATCACCGTTACATTAATGACCAATTTAACTGAAGGAGAACTTTTGGAACAAAACTACACGCTCACTTTTGCTAGGTCCTGGATTTTCAGTTATTGGCTAAATATATTACCTTTTGGTAAGAACTTGAAAAAATCCTGAAGGGCTGAGGGACCGGTGGTACTGGGCCACCAGTTCTGTAGACTGTCGGTGTTACACTTCTCTCCAGCAAGGTGCTGGCTGTAGGCTGTAGTGAACATTCTGGCACTGACCAAAACCCTGGTTTGTTGTTGTCATCCTGGCTGGTGTAGTGCTGACCAGTATAATTCCTCACGTGCCATGTGAAGGTGCTTTCCTAGCCCATCTGTGATTTCTGGGGAAAACTCCATCGTTACTGAACAAGTGGTAAGCTTGATGCATCAGAGTTAACTGAGGGATGTCAGGATGGGAGCTTCATTAAATCAGAGACTGTAGTGTTCTAAGAACTCTCACAAACAGGAATTTTGCTATTTCCTGTGCAGGGTACTTGATGCTTAATAGCTAAAGAATGGCTTTTGAAAATACTGTTCAATCTTTTTCTTTTTCTTTTTTTTCCATTTTTTTTTTATTTTTATTTTATTTCCCCTCCTCTATAGGCAATTCATCACAATCTGTTACTCAGAGGAATTCCCAAAGGGGCATACCAAGAAATGCTGTCAGGAGACCTGTTGCCTTAAAAGCAAGGGAGACTTCCAGTGCTGTCTTTGAGGGCAGTGCTCCTGCTGTGCAGGGAGCTCTTCCAGCCCAAGTGCAAAGGCAGAAGCCTAAAACTGTCTCAGAATTACTGAGAGAGAAGCGGCTAAGAGAATCCCGGGCTAAGAAAGCTATGCAGAGGACAGTATTTGTTGCCCCACAGATGCTGGTTTCGGGACCTCTGATAATCCAGCATCCACCACAGCAAATCATTCCCTCTGCACAAGCAGCGAGCACGCCTGCAACAGTTGGTTGTACAAATAGCCAAGTACAGCCTGCACCAGCTCCATTGCCAGCGTTTACTTCTGTTGCAGGTTCAACTTCTACTGCTGCTGTGCTTGAAAACCGTTCCTCATCAGTGCCAGAAACTGGGGAAAGCCCTGGTTCCTCACAAGGGACAGAACTACAATCCAACAGGGAACTAAAAGAGCAAGCTTTGGAAAGTAGCCCTGAAGGAGGGGTTTCTCCAGGCATGAATCCAGCTGCAGCAGAAAAGGCCCCAAATCAGGGAGGGTGCAATGGTCAGGTCCTAGCTGGTAGCTCAGCTTCAGTAGTGTTGCAAAACCAAGCTTTTGTGCCACATCAGATTACAGTGGTGCCTGTTGGCATTGAGTCTGGCACCAACAAATTATCTCTTTCCACACCAGTTACCTGTGAGCTGAATAGTAATGGGCCGCAACAGGGGCCAGTCAATCTCTTGCCTGCTCTTGTAACTCCACAAACTGGTCCGCGTTTGGTTCCCAACAGCATACTGCCTTTCACGTGGGTCGTAACGCCACAGGCTTTGCTCCCCAGCGCTGTACAAACTGTGCTGGGTGTTCCTCAAGGACTGCCAGCTGCTGCTGTGACAAGTCAATGTCAGCCAACTGTGACTTCCAGTGGCAGTGCCTCCAGCGTAGGAATGCTTCCTGTACCAGCTGGAGCCAATGTGCCTCACCCCAGCAGCGCAGAGACAAAGGCACCAGATGCCCAGTTAGCAGGAGTAAAGACAGCTAACCATTCCACAGTTATACCTACAACATCGGTGAGTCCTGGGTGCACCACATCCAGTGTTTCTTCTGCCACACCTGCAAGTTCAGGTGGCTCCTCCGAGGCTTCTGACTCCTCTGCAGCTCACACTGCTCTTCCACCTGATGTACCAACCCTGCATGCTGTGCTACTGCCCCAAACGCAGCCGCCTGTGAGCACTCAAGGGTCTGATGCCCAGTGTGCGTCAAGTCTCCCTAGCTTGGGAAAGAGCCATGAATCTGTTACAACAAACGGATCACCTTCCAATCCAGGCATCGTCACGAAAGGGATCGTGCTCCAGCCAGGAGATCCAGCTCCCCATCACAGTGTCCCAGGGAACTCTGATTGCTTTGCTGCACAAGCGTTGAAAAACAGACCTATTGCTTCCAAACCTGTGACTACACAGCCTGCTAACAGTTCACCCCAGCCAACCACTTCCAGTGCGGAAAAGAACACGCTTGACTTCAGCCTGATTTCCCTTGAAGATGAGGCGCTAGTGAAGGAGTGGCTGAATGGGAAACAAGGTGTCCAAGTACCATCTCTGCAAACTAGGCTGCCTTATTTGCCACCTTTTCTGTGCAACATAAAAACCCTCTCAAAGCTCCTTCTGCAGAAAGCAGCTCTAGAAGAGCAAGCAGCATGTCTTCTGCCTTCTGATGGCCACCAGGATGAAGGCACTGGGGTTGATTTGAACGCTGTCACAGAACTGGTGCAGCAGAAACTCGGCGATAACCCTGCTTACCTCCTGCTAAAAGCCAGATTCCTAGCAGCCTTTACGCTCCCAGCTGTACTAGCAACTTTGCCTCCTCCAAAAGTGACAACAACTCTGTCAGCCAGCAGGAAGCAATATGAAGAGAGTGACGAAGAGGAGTGGCAGAGTGAGAAGGAAGTGTCTGAAGAAGAGAGTTGTGGGAATGAATTAACAGGTGTACGGTTGGATTGGACAGTTGCTGATGAGCCTGGAGACAAAGATGCTGGTTTCCTTAATCAGGTAAAACAGGTGCCAGGGACTAAAAAGCAGTGATGTTGCTGAGCTGCCTAAAATAAAAAGATGGCTGAAGGAGTTCTTCTGCAATTGTGCTAGCTGTCATGGTGTTGTCTCTGCTTGTGTTGCAGGGCATGGGAGCTGAAGAAAACGCTGCACAGTCTGTCTTGGACTCCTGCACTGATGTGGCTGATGCCAGTGCTCCTCAAGTTAGGAGAAGTGCCCGCTTCAGGAAGAGGAGGAGGATGTGAGAAGGAAATGTGTTGGTAGTTACTCAGTGAATCTTGTATTTCTTGCCTGAGAGGAGAACCTGAAACGCATTTGTCCCTGGTACAGCTTAGACAATGAATCATGAGCCCAGGAAAGGACTGAAATTCTCTTGACTTCTGTTCCCTTAGGACACAGAGTTCTACAGTCATCCATTAATCAGAGGCTAATACTTTGACTTTCAGGGGGAGGGAAGTTGATGTCTGCGTGATAAAATTATATACAAAAATCATGAAGTTCAAACATTTGGCAGCCTTTTAGTCCGTGCTATTGCCTACTAGTGTTATACCTAGCTTGTAGCACTCCACGGGCTTGGCTGCTACAATGAGGCTAGCAGAAAGTCATAATTGGTGGGACAGGAAAGCCTGGGCAGCTGCTGCTGAAGAGAGGGTTTCTGCAGCAGAAGCCAAAGTAAATCCTTGCTGCAGGTTCCACCAAGCTGGTGGTAAGATGTCCTTGCTTGGGGTTGTCGGGCAATCCTCTAGATCCTGGGTGGGTAGCAGCAGCCCTTTGTGTAGTTTGCCATCTGTAGCCTGGCTCCTGAGTGTTCAAGTGAAGAATAGTGTTAAAAACTGGTGGGAAGCTGGGGCTTAAGACCAGTGGGTTCTTCATTGGGAATTTGTCTTTAACACATCATCTTTGAACAATTTTGTGGGGTTTTTTTGCCCCCTGGACAGCATTGTTTTTTTACACGTATAACACAACAGCTTCTATAGAGAACAAGTGTGTGATGTCTTAATATCTGTTGAGGCTTTTGGTGAAATAGGTTGAATGAACATGGATGGTGTTTGATCTGCATGGCTGTCAGATGAGAGTTTGTTTTTTTTCTTTTAAAATAGTTTTAGAAACTCCAAAAGGGCAGCTTCCTTATAAAAGTGCTGTGACTAATAGGAGCTGTTTGTGCTTTGTTACAGGAGTCACTTGAATGAGGTCTGCCTTCCTACGTGGCAGTAGGAGATACTCTTTGCACTGTTCACTTTTAATGCTTCCAGCAAACTGTCTAGATGGACCCAGGGAAGAGAGGAAAATGGCTGGACTGGTTTTCCCATCGCCTAACAAAGTCTGCATCTTTAGACAAGTTGCAAAAAATGAAACAGAATGGCTGGAGGGAAGTCTTTCAGGCATAGACCAATTCTGTTCTCTTTCAAACTAGCACTTGCCGTAGATGCTGGTGGGGGAAGATTGCTGGAGATCTGGGGAACCAGTCATGGTGGTTATTTATTTCTTTTTTGTATTAGCCCCTATGTATGTGAATGTTTATCCATATGCAGAATATGGTTTTTTAGTGCTGTGACAGTGGTTTTGCTCGATAGCTAACTGACTGAATACTGCTGGATAAGCAACAGATTGATTTTGTATTAAAATGAGTCTTGAGTATTTGTTGAAATACAGATGTTTTATTTTTCTCACTTAAAAATTACTCATGTATTCTGTGTCTTTTTTTTTCTGGTAAATAGTGCTTTTAGTAATGTGTGTATGAGTGTGGTTGCTAATGAGATAAATGAAGTTTGCAAGCTGCATGAAAGCCAGAGAGAATGTGGAAAAAGAATATGCATGGGGCTAAAACTGCAGGATTGAATTAGGCTGGGATTCTTTCTTGATTTTTCCACACCCTGCCCCACATAGACATTAGCAAATCTCTTAACAAAAACTTGTTTCTTCATTCATAAAGCAGCAATTTCTGTCTTACAGAGAGGTGCAAAGCTAGCTGAGTCAAAGCTGATAAAATCTAGTAGGAAGGTGCTGCAGAAAGCTTCATTCCACTGTACTGGCTAAGCTTCCTGAGAGTAGTGGTGAGTGTAGAGTGCTGTGAGTTGCAACTCTTCTATGGGGGCCCTTTAGACAGAGCTGGGGTGAGGGGGACGGTGGGTACCAACGTTGCTGTAATTTGGCCTCAAGACAAGGAATGATTCTGAAATGGCTTTCCTTTTGCAGTGTACACTATTTTCTGTAAGCCACCACAGATAACATTTTTCCAAGAAATTCAGATGTGGCAGAAGCTCTGCCATGCAGTTCTGTGTGCTGTTCACCACAGGGCTGTTACCGTGAGGCACTGGTAGTAAATGTGATCTGTGATCTAAATGATTGTTTGTCCTTTGCAAATGCTGCTCAAGAGATGCCCTTGTCATCTTACTGCTTGTGGAAAACCTTTGTATTAAAAAGAAGCTGTCTCTGTTCTTTTTTCAGGATTAAACTGATCTGTTACTATAGAACAAAAACTGAGGTTAGATCGGTCAATTAGCAGACATTCTGATTACCTTCAGCAGGGGCATAGCTAATAGAGGTACTGTATCTTTTTTTAGTGTAAAGCTACTGGGAAAATGTGTCATGCTGCCATGGTATCAGAGCATATCGTGAATGTTCTCAAGACTTCTTTAAAACCAACTGATAGTGAGTTGTTGTTGCCGCTACAGTTCTAGGGCTGTGGGAAGGTGGGGAGGCAGTCGAAGGTATGATGTTGATACTTAACATCATCACAATGCTGCTTGCTGTGCTGCTCCTTTAATTACTGTGAGAGCCACAGACTGTAATTTGGGAATCGTGGGTTACGTTCCTTGCTTTGCCAAGACTTGACTCTTTC